AAGTGATAAACATGAAGACAAGCTACCTAGAACTTGACCACTTATGATACTACAAGATGACATAAAATTCTTTTCTACATACAAATATCAGTCACTATGAATGTATGCATGTGCATGAATCACTTTTGGCAAACACTCAAAAGAGTGACAGAAAATAACAAAAAAGTGACATAAATTTAAAGATATAAACACGACTGCTTCATGTTCATGCCGAAATCATAAAGCCTTGCACCTGCACAATTTTTATAAACAAGTGGCAATGAGACTTGAACCCTAGTCCTTTGCTAGACTCTAATACATTTTAATCATTTTATTTAAAAGCTTAAGCCATTAAAGTAAAGTTTTCAAAACTTATCTATACTGAACAACACTAATGAATGGAAACGCTAAGCCCCTAGCAGACTACATAGTATGATTTTTCAATACAGAATACACAAACAAATTGGAACGGTAAATGGAAGCAGGGATTTGTCTTCGCTAATAGGCATCAAGAAATAGCGATGTAGATATTTTATCTTTTTTTCTATTTTGTTATGGGTTGCATCTCTTTCTGTGGATTTAGCACATTCAGAATAACTATTAAATCTCGGTTACGCATTGCATTCACATTCAGACAATATATTACAGGAACAGTAGCATAATAAAATTCCCAAGATTTGAAGTATATAATCATTAATCATCAATCAAAACTAAAATTCCAAGCAACAAGGCTTATTCTACTATGAGTCGGTCAAGGCTCTAAGTTTGATTATACACAAGTTCAAACAAATCTAAGGATTTCAATTTTTCAAAAAGAACATGAAACTCAAAAATTTGATCTACAGGTTACAACTAAGTTCCTTTATACATTAAAATGAAAAGAATAATTGGTTTTTTTCTTATTGCACATAATATAATTAAAAGCACTCATAGATCCAAAATCCACAAAGGACAACCCAAAAATTAAAATTACAATAAGCTGCAGAGATTGCTTTGGTCTAGGAACAAAACAACCTGAAAATTGAATTATTTTAACTGTTGCATATTGAAATTACTGCATTAAGCACAAACTAGTCATTTTCAGACTATATAACTGAACAAGTTTTCAAGCAATATCTCAATTTTCCTAGCCGAATTATTACCAAGCATTACCCACAAAAGATACAACAAATTCCAAATATTATTATCATACTAAAACAAAAAAAAAATGTTACATTGAGTTTATAAAAGGATGAAGAAATTTTGTTCCTCTTCTTAGAGAATGGTACTTCATCGAGATTTCTTTACCTCTTCTTGCCACTTTTTTCAGCCATTGTAGAAATACGAGTTAATAATTGGAATCGAAATCAGATTTTTGGA